CCCCCCCCCCCCCCGATACCTACTTTTTCGCCGTCCGGTGGGTTCAAACTGCCGTGGTAGGAACCCTTCAACCCCTGTTTCACCCAGACCCGGGGGTCCAAGTCCGGTCCACTTATCCTACAGGTTCAGGAAATGTACAGTCCTTAGTGCTGTACTCCTGCTGTATCCAATCCCTATAGTCTAGGCCGCTTCCCTCAAAGCACGGGTAAAGCATATCACCACCTTCGAGGTCGAGAATACCACCGGAGAGCAGCAACGGGAAGATCCAATGTCCTCAATAAGACCAGCACCTACCCTTCCTTCCCGATTGGTAGGCCCCGCAAGCGTTGGTGTTGAAAGCCAGTTCCAACGTGTCAGCGAAAGGTTAGTGTAGCATGGAGCCATCGCGGGTCCACCACAACGAAGCTTCTCCTGTCCTTTCCAAGAAACGTTCGTACAGATCGTGCACGACGAAGCGACCGACTCTCTGGCGTTGCATTGTTGATAGGGTGTATTTTCCCCACGCCGTTTGTTTCGGTTGTGCAAGGATGGCAAGAAGTCACGAAAGCACGACGAGGGTGTGGGTGCGCAAGGGTGGATTGTGCGATGAAACCATCTGTTGAATTGATACTTGTAAGGCATGAACAAGAGCGCCAAGAAACCAATTGCCCTCGTGATGTAGGCATGTGCACAGAGGACACCGGGCACGAAGAGAGTAAGTGGGTGGTACCCATGAAAAGCGCCCCCTCCCATTTTGGCGTTGTTTTGCGATCGGCCCGACCCGGTATGTTAGTCTTTAGCGCCCAACAACCTCTCCTAAGGGCTTGGGAGAAGGGTTAGGGCTGAAGGTTCAACTGGGCTCTCGACGGGCCATTTTGCTTGTCGGATATGGAATACCCACCTGGGACACGGGGCACAAGCCATCCCAGGTCTTGAGATCACCGCAGTGGAATACGGCCCGTGAGAACTGTTCTGGGTCCATGGAGTCGTCCCCAATGGACAATAACGCCTCCTCCCCTTTCTCCTCTCCCTCCGGATGACCAGACAGCCCGTTCTCCTCCCCTCGTCGCCTCCGAGTTGTTGCTTGCTGTCTGGCAGGACAAGCGATGGCCACAAAACCCGTTACCGCTGTGCAAATCCTGCAAGCTTCATGGAGCGTGAGGCGTGAATCCAGAGCCTGAAGTGGTGAGAAGGAAGTGGAGGAGTAGGGGTCGAAGTGATGCATTATGTGTTTCGTTCGAAAGGGTAGCCATTCGGTATCGAGAATCAAAGAAAGACATGCAGTGGCTGGAAAGGGGCGGGGGAGGGCTGCTGAAGTGGTGGAGAGGAACGAGCTGGACAAAAAGACTTGTTTCGGAAGCGCCTGCGTGTCCCGTATCCTACCCGCGTGTGCCGGGTGTTGCGCCTTTTCGCTAAGTGTTTTCAGAAATGACATTTCAAGAAAGGACGGAATAGACAAAAGGAGACATTCGACAACGAGTTTCAGGCGCAGGTGCTGTTGTACTTAACGGCAAGTCAAGCGTAGAGTGAGCAATTCTGTGGCGAAATAATCCCCAAAGATCTGATCGTGACAAGAAACCCCACCATTTCAATCGCGTTCTCCAAGAACAACGTTGTTCGCATCAGCGTTTCCCATAACCCACGGCTCCCCCTTACCCCCACAGACTGCGCACCATGCTGACGAACTCTGAACGCTCAGTCGGCAAATTCTCTCTCACGACCCACCGCTCCCCCTTACCCCCAGACTGCGCAGCATGCCGACGAACTCTCGAACGCTCAGCCGGCAATTTTCTCCCTTCATCACCGGAGGTCGCGGTCTCCTCTTTGGAGCTCTGTTGCTTGGGCTGGGTGGGGGTTCGGCCGGGGTCATGGCGGTGTCCTGGTTGTCTTGGTCGCTAGAAGTGCTGCTGCTATCTGACCTCCAACTCGTTGAGGATTTTCTCTTGGTTGGCTGGAAGACGGTCGGAGTTGCAGGCAACGCTGCTGCAGGTGAAGGTGCGGTGGACGGACCGCCAACAGCGAAAAACTCCATGATTTTTGTCAAGCGGGGGCGGTGCACCTGTCTTAGCGAGAGGCGGGAACGATGCAGGGTGGACAGGGGGGTCGTTGGCCAATTCTTGTCGTGGTTTTGCGAGGCTTTACCTACGGACGCTGGTTTCGTCCTCAGATCTGTGCGCGAGCCACTGTACCGACGCTTAGCCATTGTACAATGTAGCCAATGGCCCTGAAGAAGCTTTCAAGGACATGATTGCCTTTCGGGTTGGGCGGCCACGGCCAGAGGATACAAAGTTGAGGGAAATTCGGGATCTGAACCAGGTGTTTAACGGTTCGCGTTGAGAGAGGTGGGTTGATCGTGTTATCGGAACGAAGAAGTCGCCCGTGTTGCACGGGGTAGACGTTCATCGTGTCCGAACGCAATCAATGCCCGCTACGCAAGTTACATTTCTTGGTAGGTGTCCGCGTCAGTTGAACCAGTACGAAGGTTAGCGGATACTGAGCCAAGATTTGCACTGTTTTGGTGAGAAGAAGATGATGGCAGCAGCAACAACAACATCAACAATGGTTTGCAACACCCTGGTGCTTCATACTGGCACGGTTCCCGATATGTAGCCTCTCTATCGCGAATACAACTGACACATGCCAATCCACAGAACTTCTTGCGGTGTTCACCTCCATGATGTCGGAAATCTCTCGATCGGCCTGTCTAGTCGATGCCCGGCTAGTATTCAAGACCTGGACGCGAACCGAGCAACACATGCCAAGAGCAAAGCGGACAAAAGGGGAACAGTATTGAGCGGTCGCCGTGTGTTGAAGTTGGTGAGTTGTGCTGTTGACCGTGGCGGTAATTCACCAATCGAGTAGAATAGTGCCAAGTGCGATCAGTCGCAGATAGTTGCTCCTGACGACTCTCGGAAAAGTAATGCTGGTACTAGTTTTCTACACCATGTTCATATCTCTAACCCTGACCCTTGTTCTCACGGCCGACAGTTGTGCGGTCACCGTACAACACGATAATTTGGTTGGTGCAACGGGAAAGTACGAGGAGGATATACACGGCCAGTCAAGACACACACACCCAGGTACTCCGACATGGAGAAGACCACTTTCCCCGAAAGTGGCAAGCTGCAACGGCCTTGATGATGCTGCGGTTGCAGATCAAGAGCGTAGGACTGCACCCAAGAGGTTTCGCTGATAATGGGGACAAGTAGGCGTCGGTACTAGCGCACCCCGACCTGAAAACTTGTAGTACGTACCTCTGGAAGGAGGTGCTGCTCGAACGCAAATCGAAGACGATGGTGAGCAAGCGGTAGTCCCACGGAGACAAGTTGATTTTCTTGTGGGGCCCGGGGCTAGGACACCGCCATGGTGGTCACGGGATTGCACGGGACGTTCGTACAGAACGACGGCAACAATAATACAGGGGTGGTGGGGGGGGGCGTGCTCATGTTTGGATGCCTAAGCGGTTAGACCATTGTCCTCGAGGGGACGGAGCATGGTCCCCACAGGATCATCACCGATGGCCAATCTGTTCTTCCTAATTCGCCCCAAGGTGCCTCAAGATCGTTTTCCGTACCTCTCTGAACTATGAATATCACATGCCCTTGTTATTGCTACCTGAAGGGAAGTGTGTGTATGGGGGGATGAAAGTCGTCGCCCAACCAATGTGCTGGTTCACACCAGATGGGCAATGAAGAAAGGGAATGGAGACTGTGTTTCGTACTTGCTGTATGTTCAAGGCTTCTGGACAGCACTGCGATAGCTAGTTCTTCTCCATCACCGTACTAAGCTAACATGCAACTCGTCTTGCCGAGCTTCACCGTGGCTTGTTTCTCACATTGACGTTTCTCCCGCGAGCAAAGGGCTTCGCCCTCAATGGTAACGGCCGTCCGATGCCGTTTTTCTTCCAGCCGGCGCAACCGTTGGCTCCCCCGCTTACCCTCGCGGCGGCAGCAGCAGCAGACGCAGACGACGAAGCAGAAGGACCAGGGCCTTGGTTGCGAGGGGCTACCCAAGGGGCGTAACGCTTAAGACAGAGGCGTGTCAATGCCTCCACAAACTCAGGGAACAGCATCCCCCCTTGTCCTCCCTCGGTGTCCCCGGTTACCTTGAGAAAAGCCGCCTCTTTGCTGAGCGATTCTGTCTCTATATCCTCCCCTCCTCCTAATCCATCTTGGGCCGGCTTCTTTGGCATCTCGTGAAGTTTTCCTATCTCGTTCTGTTGATTTACCCCTGCTTGGCAGTCGCTGGTGTTGTTCCTGCTCTTGCTGGTGGTTCCAGTGGCGGCTGCCGCAGCGGCGCCGCCACTCTTATCGCTGCCATCACCGCGAACGCGGTCACCCATTGCTGCGCCGGACTGACCACTAGCCTCTGCGGCGGCGACGCCGCCTTTGGTGGGACTCTCGCCACTGCGGTGGCCACCCCTTCCCTTGTGCGGTGCCTGTTCGCCGCGCTTTGTCTGCGGGCGACGCGGGTTCCCACTAGCAGCCGACGAGGGTCGACATCGTCTGGTAGTGTTTCGTCCGCTGACTTCCATGTCGCTATTCTTAGTCTTAGGCGAGGTGTCTACACCACCATGAGCACCAGGACAACCGAGGATCTCGATACTGCGCGCTGTCTTCCTGTTTCGTCCTTCTCGTGTGACCCGGTGGATGACGCTTGCCCCAGCTGCCCAGCTGAACCTTCCCTCCAACACCTCGCAGTTGTCCTATTTTGCGGGTTAACGACATGAACCGATTGGTTTTCGGCGACGCGTGTCAACGATTGAGTCGCCACTAAATTTACTTGAGTCACTTATTCATATTTTCCCGCAAATTCTTGGTTTCGACAAACATGCGTGGTCAGATGGTTTTGGGCATCCAATCGTAGTACTATCACGCACGTCCACCGCGGGATATAGTCAAACCTTACATCTGCCCCCCTCTTCCCTGTCTCTTCCTCGCGAACGACGCATTATTGGTTTATGGAACAACACGTTTGTTCTGACTTCGATTTTGTCTTTGTCCTCACCACGAAATCCAAAAACTGAGCCCCAGACATGGAAAGCTTCTCCACGAGCGCCCGTTCCCCATGGGTCCCCAATCCCGTACCTCCACCAAACGGTTCAGCTTCGTCGCCCTCACGCGCCCCTACCGACCACACTGGGCTCACGCCTGCAGCGCGTATCCTTTCAATCCTCGCAGGACTGCTAGCTCGCTCGAGTCTAGTTGGACACTCCTCCAAGGCACGCAGCCCAGGGAATGGGCTTGCTGCAACCGAGGTTGTCGGGATTGAAGCCTGGAAGGAGGGTGCGGAGGGCGGAGCACCGGGGGGGATGATGAAGGCCGTGTCCACCCCTTCGCTCCCCGGGATTCGCTGTAGACCGCCGAGGGACGCCGACAGAAGGTCATCGGTAGTGCGAACGCTGCCAGAAAGCGGAAGATACACGAAGGCGCTCCAGGTGCTCTGTTTCATAGGGGGTTTCCGCTATATGTACGTGATGGCTTCAAGCAATCTACCGTCACAATCGCAATCAGCGCTCGCCTGTTCCAGGGCCATCGCGACCGCGCTAGCGCTGTTGTTCGTACTGCCGCTAGTGACGCTGCCGTTGTCATCGGACGTGGAGGCCTGAGACTCTTCTTCGTCTGCTGCAGCACCGTCCTCGGCAAGCAACTTCTTCTTACTCCCGTTGGCTTCCTCAGCGTTCAATTTGGCCGGATTTGTTGCCGGCGCCACAGCAAGTCGTTCTAGACCCGATTCCCGCTGATTGTTCACGTTTCCAAGGCAGGGTGAGGTCCATAAAGCGATTTATTATTCACGTGTTTGTCGTGTTCGGCATGTAAGCAAACAACAACGAGTGGCATCCCCCTGGCGAACAGTGGAATAACGTAACAGTAATGCAAGACAAACTCTGGTCGATTCATTCGAACGAGAATTTGTTGACCTATCGATCCAAGATTCACGCATCCTTTGCCATACGGCTCGTCTAACGGAGTCACTACCCTGAGACCCGAGCACGACGACTGAGAAATAGAACTGATGGGCATCGTCCTCAGTGACGAAAACAACACGTTCTGAACCAACCATCGCACCTCGCTGTAGTCCGTGAACATCGTCAAGAGCACGTCCCGGAAATCCGCCAGAACGAGCTGCACACGATGTCGCAAGTCTTCTACCTTAATGGAAACGCCGGTGTTCTACGCGCCGAAGGGTTGCAATGACGTGAAAAAATGAGAGGACGCGGCAGCAGCATAGGAGAGAGCCGCATTTCACTGCGCAGTCTATCGCTCAAGGCATATCAGCTTGAGTCTGGACGTATGGTGCACCCAGGTAGAGACATCTTGGGCCTTTAGAGTTGGATTGCCATTTGTGGGGCATGATGGGAGGATAGTGAGGTTACGAACTAGGTTGGTATGGCAGTTTCTCGAGCAGGCTTGTCGGAAGAGTAGTCAAGCGTTTGTCAATTGACGCCCAAATAATCATACCAGGCTATATAAACATCTACGCCCAGCGTACAGCCGAAGAGCCCCCCTTTCAGCATACAACAGAAGGAATCTACATGGTCCCTCTCTCAACTAGAAAGCCTCCTGTTCATGAAGGGAGAAATCAAGAGTCAGTAGGGCACAGTGCAACGGGCGTCGCGCGAAATTTTTTTTTCCCTCAGAGGCCTCATACGTTTCACGCGATTCAGAACAGGGTGCGTCGTGGGGTCACCGGACCCCACACTCCGTACTTGTCGATGGCCAAAGGGCAAGTGGAGTTCTACCGATACGATCTAACAGGGGCAGGGGGGGCGAGAAGAACAACGATGATTCTGCTCCCGTACACGGAATAAAAACATATGCCCGACTCTCCTACTGGAGCAGACAACAACACGCCTGGAAAGAGCACCGGATGGCTCAAGCGGGCGTGCGCTACAACAGACACGGGACGATAGGAGCAGACACTTGACGATACATTGTGTCACTCAGCCCATACTTGGCGAAAAAGCACGCACGACCAGGCTGTGGCCCAGCTGAACTTTATCTCATCACCTTCCAAAATTCTCTCTCCGCCTCGAACACGTCCTCCAAGTCTATGTACACGTTGGCCTTAACTAATGCTGCGCATACGATGGGGTCTTCTCGCGAATCGCAAGGGTCGACCTGGGAATAGACAAGTACACAACGCTGGTTTCCAGCTGAAAAACGCGCTGGGGTGGCAGGGGTGAAACGTCCCATTCGGTTGCCCTCCCCTAGTGAGGACGCTTTCATGTCCCTCCTTCGAGTATTCTTGAATTTGTTGCGTGTACGTTGGGTTGGCAGCGAAGAAGGCAATAATATGTTCCTGCCAAGGTATTTCGCACGCTTTATTGGTACAAGGGAGAATGTGTCGCGTCTTTGAACATCGGCACGCAAGCGTCGTGCTTTCCCCGTACTAATGAGTTGAATTGTGCAGCTAGACACCCAGGTACGTTCATCAACACTCCTCGAGGTGATCCGAGAATTAAACGATACAACACGTCAACCCTATAGACTACCGTGTTCCGACGCAGGAATAGGCTGCAAGAGTGTGACATCTGTACTCATTCACCAGATGACCGTGCTCTCCCACGAAGGATGGTAGTCTGTGGGGGCTCCATCCAACGTCTGCCCCGCTTGCCGGCTTTTCTCGGGCCATTCCTCTCCAGCCCGGTACGTACCGTTGACTTCATACATTTTTCGCGGACAAACGGCGTGTGATGACTGCTGTGTCGCTGTGCATCGTGACGACCGCAGATGATCGAGCGAAGTGCATTTCGTCAAGTCGAACACACGATAACGCTACGCGCACAAGCGCAACGTCTCTTGTTTCCCTTGCCACCTTCCCTAGCCCGACCTTGGTGGGTTTGAAACCTCTCTGTTCCCCCTCCCCTGTGTTCCTGTCGAGTTTTTTCAATGTCTACAAGCTGTTGTATCTCGGCGTGCTCGGATTGGTCTTCTCACCACACGTGGTGCACGTAGCAGACCTGAAGCGGCAGAGTACATCAGGGCGCCCCACGGAGCCATGGTGCAATCATACCTGCTTCTTCGAACGCCACGGAGGCTGCTGTAGAACAAGCGCTGGAGCTTGACATGGCCCGGTGCTATCTTTAATCCATCGAGGAAGGCCCGACTAGCCCCCGCGTGCTCCTGGACGAAATAAGTATCATGAGATTGCGAGAGAGGACGTGAAGGCTTCAGAGCTGCAACCTCGAGATAGCCACTAAATGTTCCAATGTTCTTGGTTAACGCGTCAAGACTTGGAGGCGGTTCTATCATCCCAAAGCAATATCAGGGTTTGGTCACGAGCTCGTTGCATCGTTTATATTCCGTTCTATGTTGTATGTGTTGTATGGTGCTAAAAAACGCTTCGGGGCTATGTCTGGCGGATGGAGACAATCTGAAAAGGTTTTTCTTGTCTGCGCCGCGCGGTGTTTTGTTCCTCTGAAATCAATACCGGGGAAAAAGTGCGACACGTTGGACGCGTCAGGGAAGAGCATACGAAAGCATTGTGTCATGTGTAGCCCGTACGTGAAGCAACAGTCGAATCGGCTCGCCTGCATCTTGAGTAGTGCCTGCCCTTTCTGCAGAAACGCTAATGGTTGAGCTGGATCAAGTACAAGGGATTGGTCCAGGTCGCGAACGGCTTCCCTGCACTCTCCTCCCAATCGTAGCCTCGCACTTGCCCTACCAGGAGGTGGAAACCGTGCGAAACCGCTGCAAGTTTTTCTTTCGTGCTTGCGTGCCAATTCTGCAACTGTTGCGGACAAGCGCACAGCTATACGGTACTAGAGACGACGGAGAGGCAAAGAAAGGCTAACATCTTGGCGGTAAAAATCAATCGCTGGGGTATTACACCTCTTGATTGATTGGGCCCAGGTTATGTAGACACTACACGAGCGGTGTGTTTGGACGAGAACATCTTAGTGCCGATTCTCAGCGTACATTAACTTTTACGTTTTTGCCCCCACAGTTTATTCGGGGAAGCAGGAGATTGACACGTCGCGAGGCAGGGGGCTGCACTGTGAAAAAATACTTATCATCGAGACCAGATTCCGAAATACATGACTGCGTGCTACCACCACCATCCTTCTATGGGGCGCACTGATGGAGAATTTTGGAGGTGTCGGGGTGCTTTATCTGTGCGGTACTTTAGTGATGTCACAGACGCATTGCTGTGAAGTGAGAGCATCCCTTCGCACCTTCGGAAGAGCAAGCGAGAAAGCTCTTGCGCTCGTCTTGACGGCCTGGGAGTACACGTCTCGGCTTCTTCCTTGAAAACTTTCTTGACGATGTCGATCGCTACCGTGAAGGCTCGAATACTTTCGGAGCACCGACCACAGCAGAAAGCCGCTTCACCTCTTTGTCGAAACGCACCTGCCTGCGTGGTAATCGTTAAAGGTGCAGGAGAGGGGGGTGATAAGTGCGAGTGTTAAGTACGAGACATGATTTGCACATCATCATCATGCGTACAGGGCAGCCCTTCGGGAATACTCCGATAGTTCTATGCACACAACGAGAAGTGAACACATGCGCCATTGCTATTGATCTGAAAATATGTACGTAAACAATCACCGTTTCATGTACAACTTCTCGTGTAAATCCTTTCACGTGTTGTCCTGTCCGCACACCACACGTGCTTCCACAACACGCCCCTCGTTTCGTCCTCAGAGCATTCAAGAGGTGGTCCAACAGGAGCACAATATTACATTTCCACCTCTGCCATCGAACGGGAGGTATATTCCGCCATATTCCCAGGTGTCGCCACAGCCGTGTGATCTCCAATTTTTGGTATCGTTCCGATCGTATCGTAGCTCTCCTTTCGGCCGTCCCTGGAGTCTTGACCGCCAACATGACACATATTTCGAGTGGAGACGCCATCTTCGTCCAAACGCATGTCAAAACGTCGGAAGAATCCGATAACACGACCAGCTTGTATATTGCCGTCTTGCTTTTCCGCACCCTCCGAGGTAAACAAGTATTAGTGGGGCATCTATGATATGTACACAGCTGACGTGAGACGTGAATCGTGTCAGCCGACGGAGGACCTTCATCTGATTGGCCATTGATTCCTCCGCGTTCGAAACGTCAGCGATTACGCCGCGTTCCCGGCGCCAAACACCAAACACTGCTCACTGCTGTGACTTCACACCTCAACACCACCGAAGCACCAAAGCACGAAACGTAGGCCCACGAGCCAGCAGGTTCTGGACACAGACAACACGCGTCGGACTGTACCTGAGAGACAAGATTAACTGCTTGCCTCTTAGTTGAGTCACTCACAACGCGCATCTCGCAAACACGCAATCCTGCACTGAAGATGCAAGGACATTCAACTCCACAACCAAAGACAAAGAGCTACGACGCCCGACAACGAACTACCGCCCCGCTGCACAGGAAACCGTGGCGGTCTGGGCAAGGGTTGCGGGCGACAAATCCGCGAGAGTTGGAACGCTTCGTCGACAGTGGCAGGTAAAGCAATGCTGTAGTCTAGAGACCCCGCACTCAAATTTTTTTGTCTCACCAGATGCACAAGCAATGGTTGTTGCCACCTACATGTGCATGCCGCTGCCGTACATGCACATCCATCTGTAAGTCGTTCGTGGCCTTTAATGTACTGTCCTGAATACAAGGTTGTAGTCTACAATGTCTAGTGGGTACCCTCGCAGCCTACTAAGGGCCACGTCATGGGTTCGAGTCCCGACAGAGTGCGTTTTTTTCTCACTAATTCAATCCTGGTCTCCGTCGGAAACGACGCGCGGCAAAGGTCGTTGTTTAGTAAACTTGATCGACTTCATAAGCCGCGAGGGAAGGGATTGCTGTACCCTTCTCGCGATGAAAGTATCTCAGGCAGGAACCGTAGGAGGGGGTCCAGCCCCCCCCTCCTATGTGACCCCGGTTGGGTCGTCTAGCTAGTCGAAGTGGAGGATGGGGGCCAGAGGGGCAGACGACGGAGTAAAAAAAAAAATGTAGTGCCAAGGGATTTGACCGGCCTTGTAGCGCGTACCCAGCCGTACGTACTGCATAGAATTGCGTCAGCTGCTGCCCAGGGTCAGGATCGGCTCGGAGCAGGTTCAAATTCCTCATTGAAAAGTAGGCTGTAAGAGGATGGGGCGTGTATCGAATAGCTGCGTGTGTGACCGCCGATTGACACACGGCAGCGGGTTACTTGATTTCGCTGGGATGTCTCGCACCCCTCGGACGGCGTGTTTCATTTGTGCAGAGATGGGATCGAGTGCGTGGGCGTCGGGCGTGAGAGCAGACTGACGGCAAGGACATCGACGGCAGCATCGATTAGTTGGGATGGATTGACGCTAGACCCAAGGCCTTTCGGACGGTTCGACGAGCACAACACACTCACTACCGGGAAAAAACCGGTGAGGCATGGTATGCTCGAAGCTACTCTCTGTCGAATAGAACCGAGGAGACCAGCAATGTGTTGTCCCCTCGTAGGCTTGTTCCCTTGAACAGTGGGAGAGACCTCCTGAGCCAGGCAAGCCATCCATGTGTTGCAGCTCCTCGCGTCATTGTTGTCGCTGTCTTCGCTTTCAAACCAGTTTCGACCTCTGCTCACGACTTCCGTAAGGCGAGCTGTTTTTGCTCTTGAACAAGAACGACGGTGGGAATGGGGTAGGATGTATCGGGAAATAGCGCAGGACCATTGTTTGTCGTATGCTATCACCGCCAACGAGGAGGTTGACGACCCTACGGAAAAAGGACAAGTTCATTTCGACGTATGCATAAGGACTTCGTTGTGCTCAATTTCACGTCATCATTTGCATATTCGATGGAGAAGGCAGCAAGAGTGCCGTACTGCAAGGTAGGTTCTTCGAGAGGTTATCTCGGCGGAGTTGACAACCAACCATGCCTTAAAACCTCCTACGCTTGCTTTCAAGTTTTTTCTCCTGCAAAAAGGAGGCCATGGCATGAACAAACGACGCCGTAGAGTTTTTTTTTCTCAGGGCACGAAACAAACGCGCAAATCATTGTGCGTTGGCCAATGCTTCACGGCAACCATGCCTCCTGTGCTCCCTGGTGCCAAAAACCGAACC